CAAATGCTCTAACACAAGCCCTCAGGTGCTTCCGCACCAATCTCAGGGACCTACCCTGGTTCAAGAAGTCATTCTGACTGGTTGTATATAGCTTCTTTGCCAACAATTGCATCTTGGTATCGTAAGTGTGCATCATTGACAGATCCATGAGTAAGGCCCCCATCTTTTTCTTGGTGTGAATGAGATTGAGCGCCCGCGCACAGGTGTCTAACGCAAGACAAAACAGGTCGGGAAATGAGGATCGTAGTGATGGTGTGATCCTAAACAAGTCTTGGGGCTGCTCTGAAATCACCGTGAAGATCTGCAAGATCTCTTGGCTAGAGGCACAGAATCTGTCCACTATCTCGGCTGAAACCGCTTCTTCAGCTTGGTCCTGTGGCAACATTGGGAACAGAAAGTGGATAGCCATGATATGGTAGACAAGTAGAACTAAACTTCTCGACGAGACCTCTGTAACCTGCCGGTTGAGAATATGAATGCTCTCCATCAAGACTCTGTTTATCTCGCGGCACACTGCTCCCACATCCTGCGAAGGTTTGCCCTGCTGAATGCGCTGCAGGGCAAGTAGTGGTGCTTCTTGCCAGAAATTTGTTTTCGGTGACCCGGATGTGTCTGTGTCGTGTGGGTAAAGAGCAAAGATGTGGGCAATAACACTGGCAATGTGGGCAAGCGGCCACATTTCGCGAATGACAGATTTCTGTTTCTGCAATGTGCTGAAATTTTCCGATACCATATCTAGTTGAATGATGACTGACGATGCTTCCGTCACAGGGAGGAAGATGGAAGTTAGGGAAGTTGGGAGAAGACCAGAAAAATAACCGTTGCCCATTTGAATAAACGCCCAAAGGCTCAATGAATGAGTTGTCCAGTAGAGATAGGCTACAATCTCTTTTTCAACGTCAAATACATCAATCCCATTGATTCGACTTGAAGTCATAGGGGCCGCGGTGCTAGATATTTGCTCTTTAATCTCGGTGGCAATCCTGCCTGCGAGGCCGATGTAGCAGGTAGCACGGCGAATCTGGAACGAGCATAAAGCATTCCAAGCCAAGAGCATCAAGGCTTGAGCCGTTGAAATACCACTAAAGATTCGTGTCGAGATCCCGCTGTACTGGGTGACGCCACCTGAGGAGAACTGGTTGGATCGAAGAGGCCTTGTTCGCAGCTGAGCCGTGGCCCATCGAAGCAGAACGTGGCCACGGGCCATGGCAGCCTCATCACCAATGCTGAAGTTGGCGTCGGCCAACATGGTGGCAACGAGGACTTCATCATGAGTTCCATCACGGAGTTCTCTTAAAAGTAGCGTTTTGGAGACGAGGAATGATAATGGATGTACAGAGAACCAAACATCTATTAGCTGCGTCTGCTGTCGCTGTCCATACTCTGAGAGCGGGTTCCCGCTCAAGGGAACGTTGTCGAACATTGTCTGAGTCTCGTCACTAATCAGCCCGGAAAGGAAAAATCTAGCCCCGCCATCTTCGACGTGATGGCAACCGAGAGAGCCGAATTGGTCCGTAATCAGGCCGACAAGATCGTGTGTTAATAAGTTTAGTATACCGGTGTACTTGACATTTTTGGGGTTGAACTTGGCGGTCATGGTTTCGGGGCGTTCTCTAACAGAGTTTTGGATAGAGCGGTGATAGGCTGCAATCCTCTCTTGCCATGGATTAGATCGTGGGCCGATATCTGTAGAAAAGTTCTCGTAAAACTTTTGTTCCAACGCTTGGGCAATGTTGTCAACGTCGTCCATGGGCATTGGCTCCTCAGAGAAAGTGCCAGTAGGGCTTCCATTTGGCGGTGTGCCACCAGTAGAGGATCTCTGTCGGCCAGAGACTCCATCAGTTCGCATTGCAGGATCTGATCGAGGGCCATCTTGGCTGATTGTTCGAGATTTGGGGCGGGGTGGTTCGAAGTCATATATACAGTCAGCTCCTTGTCTTCGACATGCTTCGCAAATCGTCTCATTGGAACACTTGATCTTGCGTGCGCGGCAAAATGCACACGACCGTCTCAATGGATGTTTAGAAGCCATTATGCAGCGTCGATGATGATCGTAAATAGTCTAGCCAGCAACTGGTGATGATCATAGGGCTGGGACAGGCAGGGAGATGGTAGGTATCGAATGAAACAGTTCTTTGCTCATAAAGGTATTCGAGGCGTGCAATGTAGCCAAGCAAGTGGCAAGAGAAAAAAAAGTCTGATTATAAGACTAATGCAAATGCCAGGTTCGGACCTGCTATCCAGACAATTCAGCTTGGGAAATGGAAATCTTTGAACCCCAGCAGCGAAAGACAATGAGGTGATGAGATCCTCGCTTCTCTTAGGATTTCGAAGAGTAACATGACGAGAAGCTCAAGCATGATATCAATGGGGACCATGGATATTCAAGTACTCGCTGTGCTTCAGCTTCAGACTGCGTTGCTCTACCACAACCTCTGGCTATCCATGGAGCCTATGTAAGACACACGCCCGCCTGCATAGTCGGCTGAGTAGGATTGTGTCAATCCATGGCCATGAGGAAGGCCGACCCTTGTGTCTGGAGTGTTCTCGGAGAGGTAAAACGCCAGGCCAGAAATCATGCCAACATGCCCATCCCCGATACAGGCGCTACTTGGGACCCTGTCGAGCTTGTCTTGGCAGTCACCATGATGTTATTGGCAACCAAGTCCCCGGAACCAGGGTCTGGGCTCCCTGTAAGACAAAGTGTAACTAGCGCCAAGCGGGTTTGGACGTCATGATGGATCGGGTGTCGATGGATATGTCTACCAAGTTGGGGGACGTCGAGAGGTGTTGAAGAGGGGTGTATCAAACAATCGAGAGTCGGAGTGCGAGAGCTTGGAAGGCGTGGGTAGGTTCTAGGCGCACATGGGAGAGGGAAGGTGTGGCCCAGCTTCAAATGTTGTCACACGAAAAAATACCAAAAAACGGGCGTGGCCACGCCACGGTATTTTGTGTGTTATACACCCTTATATTCTCTGCGACAAATGTTCCTGCCCCACCAGACAGTACTCCGTTGAAACATGGGGGATGTAGCTCAGGAGTCCTCGGCGCAGCCTTTCCTGTACCATCACCTCCGAGGCGTTCACACCTACGGCTCATGGACATTGATTACGAGCTTGCGAAGGCGGCGCTAGGTGATAGATGATCGATCTGCCGCGTGGTAAGTGGGTTTTCTGCAGGCGTGTTTCGAGTCTCAGGATGGCCAAGGCACTCGACATCAAAGCCGGACCCATCACCCATCTCCATTTGTTGATCCCTGGATAGTCCCCATGATCTCGCTTTTTCCTTATAGCGTCTAGTCAAACGGCGTCTAGCTGATAGGATTGATAGGATTCAGCTGTCAATTAAGCCTACTTCCTGTCGGAACTGCCTGTTGGGCGCCCGAAGAGCCGCACCTAGTATGACGAGAGCAGCCGTGCCGACTCGTACGGGAAGTCCGAGGCAGCTTCAGCCTTTTCAAGATACGATGATATCATGGCAGATTGCAGTTGTTGTATGTATGACTACTGCATAACTGTACCACAACGTCAATGGCAACGAGGATGGGCCAGAGATAACCGACTCATGAAATCCCACCACTTCATAGTATCCACGCTCTCCCGCTACGAGAGTTCACCTGAAAGCCATAGTCTCATGGCGCAGCATCCGTCCGATGCTGACAACTTCCAGTATACTCCCGTCGCTGCCAAACATCACCACACGTCACTTAGCCATGGACGAAGATGGAAAGTCGAATGGCTTTCACTTTGAAGCACACACTCTATTCCCAGCATAGCAGAGACAACGAGGAGTAGTAAGACTGACAAAACAAATTAAGTCTAACCAAGTATAAACACGAGGAGGAACCTATTCCTGATACTACATAAACACAATAAGAAATCCAACCACACACACCGGGAGCTTATGGACGCCAAGGGGAACCACCGGGAAGCCTCACGCCATCTGCTACATTCTAGAAGCCTGAACAGTTCTCGCAGCAATTCGGTTTCCATTGCCGCCCCCTCCTCTACCCCTGCTCAACCGTCTCGAATATCCAACTAGCGGACATCTCAGATTCGGAATGTCCTTTCTTATTCACGTGTTCTTCTTTCCGTGGGCAGACGGTGCACCTAAAGCAGTCACAGTTGGCTGGTACTTGTACAGCCAGCCAAGGTAGTTAATCCAAAACCATGTGGGTACAAGGGTGTATAGCAGCCATCTCACAAATGGGCCGGTGCCGTACGGCAATCTTGCTGTATGCAGTAGAGCAAAGTTATCACTAAACTTTGATAGGTCTTTGGTTCGAGGCTCTCTGATCCTGGCGTATGTAGAAAGAATCAGTTCAGAGTCTTCAACGAGAGTCTCACGATTCTCGGCCAACAAGTTGCCTAGCACAGCGGCATCTTCAATGGCTTGACAACCGCCTCTATTTCACGACGACTTTTATCAGCGTGTTGTTCCTAATCCAGATTTCCTCATGCGTTATCGCAATTTTTCCGCGTTCCTCGGATATCAGAAAAGGGGTGGGGTAGGGAACTCACTGTCCAAAGAAGCTCGTCATACTATGGGCGGCTATAATCGTTTAAACAACCTGTCAGCAACTGCACATCTTTCAACACAACGTGTCCAACAAGGATATATGACGAAAAACTCCCCGCTTACCGTCACCTAAAAGTGCCACTCTTCCATTGTACATGGATGGAAATTCCACTTCCTGGAAGACGTTACTGGCAATGACCCTCTCCGATTTGTCGATGACTACATATGGTCAGCTTTGGTAGAGCGGAATTTTCCTGCTGCGCACCCCCTTGACAAAGAGGTATGCGCTATACCATTGAGGATGTTCTTACTGCTTCCAAATTGGCCTTCCTCCGCGAATGGATGGAAAGCTCGGCCATAGACTTCCTTGATGGCTGCGGGCGTGATCGAACCCCATACCGAGCGATTTTTATCGACGTCTCCCTCCGCTTTCTGAAACAGGGTTCAAGTCAGCAAGGCATGTAGATCCCTATGTTTCATGCCTAGTGAACTAAGACAGGTTCCCATGTGGCATTTTCGATCCATGTTGCCTATCTTTAGATCAGCAGTTTGATGTCCGAATCTGAGGAAACGAACGGAGGCTCTGCCATGTGTTTTTACCTTCGACTTGAATGCCTCATGAACTGACGGGTTGGGAAAGGCAGCCCCCTGATATTCAAGCTTTCCGCAAAAAAGTAATAGTTTGAACTCACCTTGACCCCAATATACCACTGTCTGTTATCCTTGCATGGCCAGGTGGTCAGGATGGCTTGATCGTAAAGCATCCAATTGGCAACACCAAGCTCCTTGGGGCCACAGTTTGGTAGCGGGCTGGTTATTCCAGAAAAATGCACACGTCCAGTGAACTGGATGGTATTGGCCGCCGCCTCCTGACCAGTTTTGCGCAAGAGAGCTCGTCGGACAGCTGATCGGATGCCATCTGCTCCGACAATAATAATGCCACGATACTCTGTTTCTCCCTCAATAACGACACGCACGGGCTCGCCGGGAGTGTCAACTATGTCGACAACCTTGGAGCCCAGAACAACATTCTCTTCTTCGCCCGCCGCCTTGTAAAGAAGTCTGTGGAAGTTGTGTCTCTCAGCAGACAGGATTGGGTAGCCATAAGTAGGCTCAAATGTGTCCAAACTCAAGCTATTCCACCGGGTAGCATTGCGCCAGATCTGCAGCTTTTGCAGCTTCTGGGCAGTCTCCCGAAGTTCTTCGTAGACACCAATCTGATCAAGGACCCGAAGAGCATTAGGGGCCAGAGAAATTCCAGCACCAACAGGCTGCAAAACCTCGGTTCTCTCCAGAACTTTGCAAGTGATGCGCAGCCGTTTGCAGATTGCAGCGAGTGTAAGGCCACCGATACCGGCGCCAACAATGATGACTTCAGCATCCACCTTGGACATGATTGAGAAGTAGATGAAACTGTGATTAAAATTCAGAATAATGCGGGAGTTAAAGAAAGCTTAACCTATTATTATTATTATTGGATGTTTCGGAAGAATGAACAGGATGTGCCTTTGCAACTTTGTTTTTCCTCGAAGTATGATCTTCCAAAGCCTATTTGTAGCATACCACAAGCTTGTGAAATGCTAGACATCGTACGACTTGGCCGTCCAACTTGCGGCTTTGCCGATGGAAGGCGGAGGTACAAGCATGCAATACGGCGGATGCTAGACCATTGTTCGGACTCGTCGACGGAGAAAGCGGACAGATGACATTCCGGAGAATAATGTCAGATCATGCAAGTAGTATGCGGACCGGCACGGAAGCGAATTCACGTTATATTTGATCAGCAGTATGTGCGTAAATCATTGGCAGCAAGATCTGGATATCAAGATTCCAGTAGCAACATAAACTGAACGAAATACACAAGACTGCGGGTGTGTTTCGTAAGGAGGCCAGCCCGTAGAACAACAGATTGAAAGGGCTATTCATGGGTCATTTAAGACAGGATAGGAAATGATGTAAATAGAACGAATTACAGTGATTACAGTGTGCATATATACTCACAATTCGCTTCATCGGGCTTTTCCGCACAGATCCAAAAAGTGCGGCCTAGATACTTATTTTTTTCACATTTTGTCGACAACATCATGAAATTTGAACACTTCCTGGAACGCAGATGCCTGGTTTATACTAAAATTAGAGATTTTAACAGTTCTGATCAAACATCAAAACCCTTTTCTCATCCAAATGCAAGCAAAACGGCCCCTGCACAGCAATACTCTGTGGTTTGTTTACAAATAGGCAGACAGACCAGGGTAGAGCAACAGAAAGTTCATGGAAATATTCCATTTTTATCATTAAAAAGCAGGATCTGTCAAGTTCCCCTTTTTGGCTTTTCATTTGTTCGAATATACAAGGAAATAAAAAAAAGGAAGCAAATAATAGTCCGCCAGGACGACTGATGCTACTACCCTATATTACCCTTTTAGTACAAGCGCCGACAAGGATGTGGTGCTGAAATCAATCAGACCTCGCATCTCATCCGACAACCATCACCTAATTTCCGGCAGTTTAATTGGAACGCTGTGCTGAAGTAAAGAAACGCGTTACTTTATGAATTAAATGCCGAATATTGTTTCCGTCTTCGCGACAATCAAGTTATCATTGCCCCGACCAGCCGTGGCTGCTCCTGAGAGCGCAACACTCACGCGGAGTCACGCCCTACGAGAAGGATAAGTCGATGCCATCAGGAAGATGGCCTAGCGTATTGATCAGTAAAACCCTCTTTGTTTATAATATAGATATGGGCTTACCAAAGCATATCTGCAATGCCAACTCGGTTTTTCTCGAAGTCAAGAATGATGTACTTCTCCTTCGCAAACGTCTCGCCAAAGTTCCCGATGCTGTAGATGGAATAACTCGGTCAGCTCTTGTCGATTGTTCCATTGCGAACGCGAAGTGGCTGGGTCAGGACTCACAACTTGTCACCACTGGCAAGGGCTCGGACGTTGAGCACGCAAGAACCGTCCTTCATCTTCTCGACATACATTTCGGGGGTGACGGCCCATTCTCGGCTACTGCCAGTGAACTTGTACTTGATATCGGGGAACAACTTGAGCTTGGAGCAGTCGACAGAGAAGAATATCTGGTCTCCGTTGTTGGGAGGCTCCTTGAGTTCCACGGGTTTTCCACCAGTCATCTGGGTCAGTCTGGCGTAGGCGTTTGGAGTCAATGGAGTGCCACGACCGTAACTGGCGTGGTCGAAAATGGCGCCCTTGCCAGAACTATTTGAAGTAGGCTCAATCTTCTGGACTTCGGTGCCAATCTTGAGGCCTTCAAGCTCGACACCCCAGTAGTTGTACATGGGCGGGTTATACACAAAGTCTAGGGTGTTGACATCGGGGTACAGCCTCACATCATACCACCAGATCTTTTGGTTCTTGATGAGGTCGCGGCGGATGCCACCCATGGTCTGGATACCATCATGCCCGTTGCAAACGGACTTGCGAGATTCTTCATGGCAGTATACAAATCCAGTATGTGCCGTTCTCCAGTGGCCATTCTTCCATTGCTGATAGTAGGCGGACTGATTGTCAACTGGTGGCGAAAGTGTCAGCAAACACAGCCCGGCTTACCTTGACAGCTAATGCCAGGCTTCATCTTACCGTCGTCACCACGAAAGACTGGTGACATGCCGACAATACCTGTGAACGGGAATGGGGCTCCATACTTCCCCGAGACGTTAAATTGGAGGTCTGTTAACTGAAGGACAGTTTCACCCGTAACTGGCCCAACGTGCAGCAAATCTGAGCCATACTCGATGCTCATGGGGTCTTGCATGAAAAAGTGGTTGGGCTTCCATGAGCGATCTGCGTACTCGCTTGTCAAATTCTTGAACGACGTGGAATTGCGAGGATCCCAGTACGGCTGCTGAGGATGCAGACAAAGGCTCGGATTCCACTGGCCATAACACTTGGGCGTAGTCACAATGTTGCTGACCCAGGTCCAATCGACAAAGATTTTGTACTCGAATCTGGGCGATCCAACACCAATTCTTGAAACAAATCCAAGAGGATCCCAGTCAAGTGGCAAGTCATATTGCCCTCCACGTGGATTCCAAGAACCAGGCCTGTCACTCCACCGTCCGCCAGGACCCCAGCGAGCTTCATCCACGCCAGTGGGAGGAACGGCCGCAGGCACTGCGTAGGCAGTTCTAAGTAGTAGTAGGTAAGACACCAAAGTGGCCTTGTATGTCATTGTTACTGATACCTCCTAGTTAACGAAATGTTTAGGTCGTGGCCTGGCACGTGTCGGGCATCGACAGAGGGATTCCGTTGCCACCGCAACCCTAGCAACAGAATGGAGTTTTTCACAAGATAGAATGTTCGTCGAATAGTTTCAGATGGAAGTAATGCCCAACTGACACTAGTGGAATGCAGGAACTTACTTCTTTTCTATCTTACTGGTCAGTTGATGGTGGATGCCTTGCCCTCTGAGATCAGGCGTACCCCTAACACGTGGCTGATGGGAATAAAGACTGATTCGGTTTTCGTGGATTTTCTTGCCACTCGATGAATTCAACATTATTCTGACAGAAATTCGCCGACTTCTTGTACTCCTCTCTTGCCCGGCCAGCTCTCCGGTAGTAAGCGCCATACCGCCGCCGCCTCCGCGGGCTGGCGGAAGCATAAGATGATATCCAGGACTTTGATCTGCAACACCGGGGTGCATTCTCAACCGAGTAAGAATAGTACGGACCGTTTGATTTATGCTGGATGTATTGATTTAGAACGGGGTTTGCACGTTCTGCCTCCCCACTCGTGCCGTGATGATGGACCACCTTGACCGCACCAAGACTCACCTCACCCTCGTGAGCCCTTGACCTTTGCCACCGTGACATACCATCACGAAAATTTACCGAAATCAATGTGGAGGTGGTCCAGTTTGAAACTTAGCCCGTGGGTGGCCAGTATGCCTCCGACTCGAAAATGTGCTCTGGAGGCTTGTCTAGGGAGTCATCCGCCATCATGGCTAAGACGGGTCACTCATTCACGAGGACCCTTTTAGTGACACTTACTATCCATGGAGGTAACCCGAACAAGAGTCAAAGGCAGGGCTACTGCAACCGGAGCAATTCCAGACGGCTGTGCTGAAGGTTATTTCCCATTCGGGACGCAAGCTCTCCTAAGTAGCCAGGTAGCTTGACACGCCATCAACAAGAAGATCGGCTTTCATCGCCTCCTCATTTCTAGATACGTGCTTGGGACTCGTTCTCTATCGCCCTCGGCATTCGTCCCTATGCTCGCGGAGGCGAATTGATGCAGATAATATAAAGCTTGAGGCTTGGGAAGTGGTAATGAGTGTATTGGACTCCAGAACTTCACATTTCATTCACAGGCTCACAGTCGTTGATTGCATTCTTTGCTTCTTCAGAGTTGAACTCATGCCATCCTAGGTCTTCAGGAAATAGACTTCTCTCGCAGGTTTTTGGTCTCCCCCAAAAAGTTTTGTTTCACATCAACAGGCCTGGATTGCCCGTTGTTCACCGGAAATCCATCACATACAGAGATTTCCTCACATTGACAATAATTTGACCTCATTTAGCAAAGACTGAGATACCCACACCCATTTTTTGAACAGTCTTCTATTCTTATCGAAAAACACGGCGTGTTTACTGTTATGCTCGACGCATCATGGAAGTCATTACTTTGATTCAGGGCGATGACATGTCTGATCTGACTCCTCTTTTTCTTGTTCACGCGATTTCTGGAGTTGCTCTTCCCTTTTTTCATCTTGATTCCCTTAGTGATGACGACAGACCGGTATACGGCATCACAAGTCCTCTGCACTGCCCCGGCAGCAATAACCTCAAGTATCCCACCAGCCTCAAAGATCTGGCTGCCTTTTATCTCGACGGCATTCGTGATATTCAGCCTGAAGGACCATACCTCTTGGGCGGATGGTCCATGGGCGGCATGATCGCCATGTTCATAGCACAAATGCTGGAAGCTCGAGGAGAAGAGGTCTACAAAGTTATCATGATTGATTCTGCCAACCCGGAAGTTTTTCCAAGCTTCAAGAGCAAAGAAGAACATCAGGAATTTGTCAAAGTCACCTTTGACCGCACTATTTCAGCTGGTGGGCTACAATCCGGTGATGGTGATGGCCCCGACCACTTTCCTGCCTCGCCCTCCATGACAAGCAACTACGAAATGGGCGACTACATTGTGACTCAATCTCGGCCTTCTAATGTCTGGAACAGTCCTTCAAGCCCGACGATATCGAGTGCTCGATCCAGCGCAGCCAGCATTTTCGACACTAACAGCCCCTTCACGTCTCCATCTCCGCTTTCCGACGGCTTCTTAACCGATGATTCTGATTGCGATTCAGACTGTGGCTCTGATTGCAATGAGCCGCCCGCCATGGAAGAATTTCTGCAGCAGATCAAGACCCATATCCACCGGGGTCTTGATCTCGTTTCCAGTGTCAAGCCCGGCGACCTCTTTACGCCCGGCACCAAGTCCGATTTTGACGCGGTTCTTATCAAATGCACTACAGAGCCCATCGACGTCGCAAAAGAATACAAAGCAAATGCGGGTGCACAGCTGATTGAGACTGTCATGAGAGAGCAGAATATGCGGTGGAATCCGTCGCAGTTCCGAAGCTTCCAGTCCATCCCTTTCAGCGGAGACCACGATGGTGCATTTCAGCCACGATTTGTTGGAGAACTGAGCTCCATCCTGCGAGAGTGCATTGAAGACGTTGAGTAGCTTGATAACCCCGAGGCAACAAGGGAAATGGCCACAGACAAGTATGTTTTCGTGTACGTCTGGAATCTATCAACCCTGAAGTCATCTAGACATACACAACCTGGACAGGCATGAAGTTGGACTATGGCTCAATATTTTTCCCCTCTCTTTATTTTAATGTTGAGCATACGCTGGCGGCGGCGTCAAATGTCTTTTACAACTTCCACATGTCTAACGACGGGGCGATAAGAGTGCATGTCCATGGCATTCAGAGAGTTCGTTCGCTATCAAGTTAAGCTCTTCATTATGCAGCTTCCTCGAACCAATAGCTTGGCTTCATCTTTGGTAAGAATAAAGTGTAGTTCAAATTAAGTTGCTGCCTCTAAGCTCCTCATGACTTCCTTCAGCCCAAAATGACGCAACCATCTGCAGCAACCATGTCTCCGGGCACGCCACATCGTTTCATGTGTTTGTCGGCTGCAGAGGTGCCTCCTAATCCTTGACTACTGACACATCGGAGGTCCACGGTCGACGTCCGGAGGCAAATAGCCACTAAGAGAATAATAGAAAAGATGTACACGCCTCGTAAAGCTTTTGTTGTTTTGGGGGTGGGGGTCCTCAAGTCAGCTGGGTGACGAGGTTTGTTCTCTCCGTCTGTTGACGAAGATACAAAGTGATGTGGCGACTTATGTCTGCTCACCCGAGACTCAGTTTGCAGTCGAGCAGACTTGGACGTGGCTTGGCCACCCATATTCGTGCAATGCTATTCTTTCTGCATAGCCAAGTCTTACTAGTAACTCGCAAGTTCCCCATCATAGTTAGCAGACAAATACAACCCCTAGATGCAGCCCCCCTCCCTTTGCCTCCCCGGTAGCCCAGAGCACCATCTTTTGGCCCCCGACATAAGTCGGAGAGATGCCGTGGGACAAATCTGCGGTCACGGCACACTAACTGTCCGATCAAAATGGGTTTGGCTTTACAGAATAATTCTCGGTTTTAGATAGAGGCCATGTGCGATGTGCGGAAACAAGCTACGCTATGACGAAAGCCGTGGTTCTGACATCGCGGTTCGCGCCGGGGGTGCGAGATGGCGAAGGAAGGCGAGTGATGTTGCCAGCAGTGCAATTAGTGTTGTCTTCTAGAAACATTTGATGCTTGTCATTGGGGGTTGTACCATACGTTAAGCAAGGTCATGTGTGTTTCTGCATATGGTAGAGTTTTGTACGCTGTCCACACGCTGGAAAGGAGCCATTGAATACATGGGGAACACAAGGTCAAGGCAGAGTATAACTTCATTTGACACCTCGCGTGTGCTAGCTATTATGTGTGACAGTACTGAATAGTATAGCACTTGATATACAGGAACCTTGGCAAGCCAGGTACTCTGCCGTTTGCAAGACCGAGATGCATACAAGTCGCGGGGGGGAAAGAATCTTCATTCAGCTCATTCTAGGCCACCATATGAATTGGTTTGCAAAACATACCTTGTGAAACATGTCTCCCAATATTTGAAGCAGCAAAACAGAATCATTGGGCGCTCATAGCGTCGTGTCATCTAGTAGCTTTGCTCATTCGAACCCGTACGCCACCTCGAAGCCAGGGCGTTCCAACCTTGTCAAAGTTGAGATTTGAAAAGTCAGTCTTTTCCGGGATGTCCTCAGTTTCCCAAGCAAAATCATATTCTCGTATGAGTGTAGCCACCGTCCTGGCCACTATTATCATGGCCATTTTCTCACCTACACATCTGTGGCTGCCGCCGCCGAATGGAAGGAATTTCACACCATTCGTTTTGTTATCTATTTGCACAATTTCTCCCTCGTTGCTGATCCACCGCTGCGGGTTCCGAACTTCCGGCTCAGAGTAGTTCTCTGGGTCAAGGTGCGTGAGATATGGACTTATAGACACTACTGCTCCCTTGGGGATGGTCACGTTGGACTCAGGAATGCATACATTCTCGCGAGCCAGCCGCAGGAGCTTCATTCCGCAGTAGTATCTTGCCGTTTCCTTGATGCAGGCTTGGAAGAGAAGCGACTCTTCTCCCTCGGGCGTCGAGCGCAACTCGCTTGTCACTTGTTTCATGGTGTTGGGGTGGCGCAGAAGCTGAGTTATATTTTAGTTCAATGGCTTGGTGATTATGCAACTGACTCGTTCTGCTTACAGCAACTATATTCCAAGAAATGCTAGCAGCAGTGCTTGTATGAGCAGCAAACATGAGCATGGTGTGGTGACTGGGCATAAGATGCTTCAATGGCACTGTTGCGCCGTCTTCCATGGTGAACGCAACGTAATCCCGTAGAGGCCGAATTTCACTTTTATCTTGCCTGTCTCTCTCATGGAGTCGCTCCGTGAATATTTCCTTGAAACGATTTCGTGCCCTCTGTAAGCGCCGCGCAGGTGGGTGAGGAACCCAGTCAGGCAAGATGAAAGACCACAAACTGCCAATATCGGCTTCCATAGAATGCAGCAGATTAAACAGCTCCGCCGTATTGTGGTCGTAAAAGTCTTCTCCCATGAGAGACCTAACGATGATCTTGTGCACAAGATAAGAAACCGTGTCGAATAGCTCGAAGCCATCCCGCGATGACCACTCGGCGGCAGCCTTTTGCGTCTCCTCCACAGACACTGCGGCAGCATATTTTTGTGCCGTACCGGAGCTTACGTAGCGACTGAGTGAGGATAAAAGGACGCGGTAATGATCCCAGTAGCCGCGGTGGATGATTTTGTTTAGAAACAATCCCTGATGGTAGTCAGTGTTCTGATCAGAATTGACACGGCGGCACTTCTCACCATGCCACCAACAAACGACCAGACATCTTCTCGCGTCTCGAGGTACACCTTGTTGAGTTCATTGCCACGGAGCCAAACATTGTACACTGAAAGAACCCGAATACTGAATACATCACCACACTGTCTCGTGGCTTTCTGTATAAGTCCAATGGGCTTCGTTGCGAAGTCTTTGGCGTCACTTAAAAATGCAAGGGAAACTTCGCTCTTAAACCCGGGCAATGAAATAGGTGAACTTCTTCTAAGAGAGGTTAAAATTGCTGCAGCAGTAGTAGTAAGTAAGATGACGACCGGCGTGAAGAGTGCCATGGCCGTAGTAGTTGCGATGGCTGTCGTACGAGACGAACGCTTCATTCTCTAATTCCTCCTGGACTCTGTATTTTTTTTTTAAAAAAAAAAACCAGGACATGTAAGAAGCCCTAATTTAAGTATAAAATTTTGATTCATGGTACAGTGCTCATAAGACGCCACAGACCTCCGACTTCACGAGGCATATTCTGGTCACCTCCGCTCCGTGCCTTGCACCGTCATTTGATGTCACTCTCTGGTCGAAGACAATAGCCCTGATTCAAAAAAAAGACTGCAATTTGTGTTGACAAATCATCTGTTTAAGCGTTTCACGTTGCCTGGGTGTGTCTATATGAACTACCACCGACGTTCCGTGGTGGCGCGGACGGCGACGCTTGGGATGACGACTTTGCGACAAGTCGTCTGAGCTTCAATCATGTCAGACATGAAAGCCGATGATTAATGTATGTAAACTTAAAATGAAACCGGTCGGGGCTGTCATTCGAGTCAATCAGCATAGCATGGCCTTTTGCAGTAATTGGGCATGCTTAATACCTCCGAGCGTCTCTCCATATAGAGTGGCTTGCGTGCCACATCAGCTCCCGCTTAGTTGTTCAGGGATCTGCAAGAAGGAAAGTTTCGCTGATGATTATTCAATAAAAATGAAATCAAAAGACCGGCCCAAGCTGTAGTTTACCGTGGCCTCATCTTGGTTAGTGTTTTGTGAAATCGGGCTGTATAAGCCGGGGCATAAATAGCGCGTGTGCAGCACCTCGATTGTCGAACATGACCTAATACAACTAAGTACCTAGGTAGGTATGTAGTATTTCAGACACCTACATGCCTTGGTTTCGGGTTCAAATGTTCCGGTTTGTGTTTGGGGTTCAATCTAAAAAGGCAAGGCCCAAGCAAGGCCCCTCGCTCGACTGCTTCGTGCCTTCTTCAACTGAGGACAGCTTCGCCGCCGTTGCCTCCGTCACCCGCTTGCTTCTCTGCACTTCCCTTTGCATAAATTTCTCCGAGAAGCGCAAAAATGAGGAAAAGGCTCCTTTTACACAATAAAATATCAAAAATCTGTATTTTTTAGTTGTATTTTATTTTGCTTCCCACCATCACCAGCTGCTTGTGTTTGCACCACCGTGCACTTGTCAGCTTGGGCATGTTTTTCTTCCATCCCCTGACAATGGGCGCCCCACGACGGCCTCGTGTATCCATGTCCCTCGCCTGGCATGAATCAACATATTCATCCCCACGTGTAGCCTACGAGCGACTCAAATCGGGATACTCTAAAAAAACGGATTGTGGCAATTCCTTGTACCACCCATGCGCTGCGCTGTCATCTTCTGATGGAGCCGCGGATGACTCTGAACCTAAGCTACCAACAGTTATAACGATTGATGTCGCATATTCATGCTGGCCGCGGATGAAATGGTCCCAAAGAAACCGGAGATGGATGCCCGACACCCCAGATTCAACGTCCAACGTCGACAGCAGCCGGAGCATAGCAGATACCGAAATATCCCATATCGTTGTCCCTGATGGCGGCTTGAGGGCCTGGCTTGTCGTTGTGGGTGGCTTCATCGTCTACTTTTTTATCTTCGGTGAGTCTTATTTCCTGCGCCTTCAGGTTTAGCGTGTGTGCCTGACATCGCAGGGCTTTTAAACGCTTTTGGAAGTTTTCAAGACATCTACACTGACGGTGTGTTTGGATCCTATCCGTGGAGACATGCTATGCCTGGACAAGTTTCATAGATTGGAGGCATCCAGGTATTTCCACTTGATGGCGAACATCCGACCCCAATATGCTCACATTTGTTTAGCTGTGCATTTCCTTCTGCGGTGGCCTTATATCTGGGCCGATGTTTGACAAGTAGGGAGCGCGTTGGCCGATGATCACGGGTGCTGTGCTCGCTTCTGCGTCCTTGCTAGGTTCTGGGTTCTCAACCAAGTTTCCGCACTTCTTGGTCAATCAAGGCATCTTTTTTGGCACGGGAATTGCGTTGCTGTATGTGTCTGCCTGCCTGCCAGCCTGTTTGTCTTCTTGCGAAGCCGCACAGAAACCGGTCGCTAATTCGAAACGTTGCCTGGATAGATATTACCCGGCCACCGGCGCCATCACGGAGTGGTTCAACGAGAAGAGGCCTTTGGCTTTAGGAATCGCCGCATCGGGGTCCTCTGTTGGGGGGGCTCTTTGGTCGACATATGTACCGGAACTGAATGATAAGTTACCACATGGTGTTGTTTTTCTGGTGATTGGAGGCATCGCGACTCCTCTGCTCTTTCTTGGTTGCTTGCTCATTCGAGAAAGAAAAGGAGCGGCTGGTCATGATGAGTCTGGCGATGAAGTTCGACCATCTCAACGGAGTATTCGGTCAGCCGTTCTCGAGTGGCGGTTTCTCGCATTGACCTGGTCTCTAGTCATTCTGTATACCGGTGTTTTGATTCCGTTCCACTTCCTCGTAGTCTACGCCAGGGAAAAAGAGGTCTCAGAAGACGTGGCATATAACCTGGTCGCATTCACATACTTGGGCTCCATTCTTGGGAGAATCGGCTCAGGCCTGCTTGCCGACTTCTTTGGCTGGTGAGTGCAGCATGGGCTTGGAATCCTCGTGCCAAATATAGCTGATTCAAACTAGCTTCAATGTCCTGTTTTGGATGAGTATCATAGTTGGGGTGGTGACACTATGGTGGACACAGGTGCATACTGCGGCAGAACTGATTGCATTCGCTGTTTTATTTGGCATCTTCTCAGGTGGCCTTGTACCCATGGGCTCTGCTTGTGTGGCACAAACGACTCCGGACATGGGACATATCGGTCTTCGAATTGGTGTAATGATGGCTTTCTGCGCAGCCGGTGCCCTTGGTGGCGCCCCTTTAAGTGTTGCCCTTCTAAACATAGCTGGTTAGGGAGTGGTTCAAGGATTTGCTGCACTTGTATCTCTCATGGGTGCTGCCGCCATTTAGTGGGTGAGGCTGAGATGGGAATCTCGTTGGTGGGCGAAGTTTTAGATTGTCGAGTTCCGTAGCTAGATTCGTCTCCTAGGCAGGGTTCTGCGGCATATTCTTTACGATTAGTATTAATACTAGCATGCATTTTCACAAACGACCATGCATTGCCGACCCTCGTTTTGTATCTATGGATTACTGACTATAGAATAGTTCGGTTGAAAGCAGGGACATGTCTGGAAGGCTGGTTTCAATTTCTACCCGTTTCGGTTCCTGAAAGGATTCTGTTGACATCCTATTCTGTGACTAACCGGCAAAGAGACTTCAATATTGGACACCTGTACGGAGCACAGGCATTCGGGACGCTTAAGTTGCGCATTTTCTAGAACAACACCGGAAAAGAGTTCCTTGTATTTCCAATACTGTGTTCTAATTATGAATTGTGAGGAAGCACCTTTTTCTTCACTGTGCGGCTTTGTGATATTTTATGGACGTTGCCGCCCTCCGCCGGACATCGGGCGTTAGTATAGGCTCCGACCGTATGCGGGATCGGCACATGAATGCCGTTTCCCTGTTTTCAAAGAGACTCGGCGATTCAAAACATGGCTCTTTTAGACATGTTGGAGTGGCGGGAAATGTGACTCCAAGTTGTTCCGCTCATGTATGGGAGACATTGACTCGTACTGGTCACTCCATCAGTTAAAATCGTCAAAATGCAGTGGCAAGCACCCACGCATTGAGAAATACAAGGCCCTCGAGATTCCATGTCCGTTAGGTATTTACACCATGAGCAGGTGCGTGGCAGGGCCGGGACCTGCGACCATGCGTAGCCCAGGTGCTGGGCGAGGGAGCGGACAAGCGCGTCGTCGGACCAGACGAACCGACGTATACTGATGCTCGGATGGGAGAGTCAATCCAGTGAGTTGTAGTGGTGATTGCTGAGTTGGGGGCCGGGCGGCCAGGCCGATTGCTGTCTGGTAGGTTTGACCAGATGCCTGCGCTGATTGCGTACGCGAGCCATGCCTCGCAGGTTGTGCCTCTTATTCGGCGTGCGCAGCGGTCGCGTGTGAAGGCTGTTCCAGGGGCGGGAGGCCACCAGTAACTTATGGTTCCCTATTCTGAGGGGGGGAGAAAAAGCTGAAGCGTTTGCCAACGGCGACGGCCTCATGGCGCATTCTGCCCTCGGCAACGCCCTCGTCATTGACATCACACCACGACCACGTCCACGTCTCGGCCGACAAGACGGCCGCCAGGGTCGGCGCCGGAATCCGTCTTGGGGCCTTGTACACTGCTCTCAACCCCGTGTCCGCGACTGGCCGGGCGGCATTTGCCCTACCGTCGGGCTGTCCGGGTTCCTGGGCGCCGGCGGCTTCAACATGTAGATGCGCACCTTGGGCATGGGCGTAGACCACGTCGTGGCCGTCTCGTCAATGCCTCGCCCGCAGAAAACAGCGACCTGTTCTGGGCGGTCCGCCGCGGAGGCGGAGGCTCGTACGGCATCGTCGTCGAATGGACCCTCAAGCTCTCGCAGTTGCCTCGCTCGTTCATGGTCCAGATCGAATGGAACGAGCCTGACTCCCGTGTCCATGTGGCAACTCGCTTCATCGACTGGGCACCCAGGACTGACCCGGCATTCACGTCCTGGCTTAACATGTACAAGAGCCGCACCGAAATCCTGGGCTGGTGTCTCGGGTGCACGCTCCATCACGCAAAGACTCTCATGAACTCGTCCGGCCTGCTGGCTATTGGGAAACCCCAGATCCACATCTCAGGAGGGTGTAATTCCGTCAACGCCCGCATGTTTGGCTTCATTGTGAGCGAGTGTATCCCCGACGCAGAGGTGTCCAAGCACGCGCCTCTGGCGATGTTGTCCTCCAGCAGCCGTTCACCCAGGTCGACAAGTATCCGCAATTCACGTGGAACGAGACTCGTCAGGACCCAAGCTCTCTGCAGGCCCAGCCCTGGCCCAGATTTAGAAGAGTGAGCAAGAGCTTCTTCATGCAGAAGAACAAGAAGCTGGGCAGGGAGGCGGTCCAGAGTCTGGTGGACAGGTTGACGGAGTTGCCAGATGAGGCGGCCGACTGGGGGCAATGGCATGCGTGGAGCATTGGTTGGAAGGGGGAGGACGAGGCGGCGTTTGCATGGAGAGAGGAAGCGTATGCTCATCTGGAGTTTATAATGACGGGGTCCGAGGACGCGGAGAAGCATAAGAGGCTGGTGGAGTGGAATGAGGACTTGGAAAGCTATCTCAGACCTCTGACAGGGCGAGTGCTTCCCTCCAATATCTTCCGGAGTGGTCTGGACTGGGTTTCTTTGAAGACTGACGGTGATAGTCCTGCGTCGTATGCCGGATATGTGGATTCCAGTATCTCGTGAGTCGGCAGATCCACTGCAGTCGTACTATGGGCATAATGTGAATAGTAGGTTGAAGCTGATCAAGGCCAAACATGACCGTGCTGACATTTTCGATTACCCGTTGGGATCCGTTGGGATTTCCGCTGGTCGATAGTTGGGTCGAGAGCTGCAATGCACTGATATTGATTCTACTCTATCGTGTACCATACCCAAACTATTGCCTCCCTACTTGTACTTGGGAGGGGGGATCGCCATCCACACAGCTTTTGCTTACCAACACCACCATTCAGAACGCCAACCCAATTTTCAAAATGTTGTAGTGGTATCCCAATGAACATAATCATGAACTCATTTTTACAGAAGAGGAAAAATATTTCACCATACTTTCGTCATCCTTGCGTATTCTGGGTCGTCGCTCATCGTTTGCGTCCCTTGGAGGGCTTGCCGCCGCCGCCGTAGTCAGCAGCAGCAGCTTGTTCCTCTCCCCAGTGCGCATCTTCTAAACACTCCATGACAACGGGGTTGGCGAAAACGTGATGTTGCAAGCCACCCCTAAAAAGAATTTTCATCATGTTGACTCGCGACAAGAGTGACCAAGTGTCGATTCGTGTGCTGTGGTTTCCGAGTCGCAGACGGCATCTGTAGCCATATTCGGCTTGGCCGTCTTCGGTCCGCTGCGATGGCGGGACATGGGAGTCCTTCTCTGGGAGATAGAGCGCAGTAGAGTAGTAGGGGCCGACGCCTCGTTCAAGAGATGTGACAACGCTAATGAGACCCTCGCGCAAGTCGCGACGGGCCTTGCGCGATACAGACTTGCTGCTGAGCTTAGCGAGTTCACTGATGCGACCAATCAAGCGCTGCGGGTCGTATGGGAGCTGGAATGGCTCGCCGGTTTCCTGTTCGTGATGTCGAGAGGACTCAAAAATAAGTGCGATGGCTTGTCCTGCATTGCACTGGATTTCCGTGTCGGAGCTGTCGAGTTGGTCGACAAAGGCGTCCATGGCGGTGTCGGCATAATCCGAGAAGTCGCTGACGTGGCCGGCAACGAATGACCAACCTACTATAGCGGCAGACACGACGGCGGCGTTGTCGTGTGATTCAATGCTTTCTCCGTCGCTGCGTACAATGTCAAGGAGGTACTGCATGACTTCTAGAGCAGATTCTTCCAGGCCGCCAGCATAGAGAACACTCATACAGAGGGCATAAATCGCATATGTCTTGCACTGATCGTCATCATCGTCCACAAGGATCTGCTTCAGAGCTCGTTCGGCGCCTTCAAAAATCTCCAGGTCATCAGTCGTCCCCACAGTTAGGCAGAAGGCCTGCAGGTTGAGCAGTCTCTCGCGAGCGGTCGGAGCGCGATCCGCGTCCTTGAGGAAAATCTCGACAAGCTCGGGAGCGGCAGGATCCAGCCACAGGTGAGTATCAGTACTGTATCTATTGCGCAGAGTTTTGAGGTAAGCTTCGAGAAACTGTTCGCGGACCTCGTAATTGTTGTGCTTCTTGTCCTGTAGACCTTCGATCAAGGCTCGGGCGTCAAATGTACTCGTGCCGCCTTCGTCAGGAGTGGCTGCTCCGGACCCCCCAGAGTGAACACTGGACATGGTGTCGTCAAACTCGAAGTCACTCTCATCCTCACTGCCGCTGACATCGGAGGTCACACGGCTGTGCGTCGCGGAGTGTGTCGGTGACGTCAGAAGGGATGGCAAAGGAGAGCTTCTAGGTGTAATAGTGCCAGAAGCACGACCTGATTTGATGGCCTTTTTCGAAGTGGTCTTGCCGTTGCCCTTGAGAGCCTTGACTCTGGCGTGGTTCATCATGGCGACGGTGCGTTGGGACCTCGAATGGCCCAGTTGCAGTTGCTGCGAGGAGACTTCGGCGATGGAGTAGCTGGATTGGTAGGTGTCCCTTTTCACCTGGAGATGGGTGCGGAATCTTCGAGCTACGAATGAAGAGCTCTTTTGCTAATCGCGGCCCTTGGGACAGGCCGTTTCACTGCTATTTCAACTATCGAATGAGCGAGCTTGTTCGGGTCAAGACGGTGCGTTGAGAGCGTTGCGCAGTCGATGGGTGCCGTAAATTTTATGTGTGCTTGCAAAAACTGGTCGAGGGTCACGATCCATAGGGACACAGGCAGGATATAGGAATGAGGCGTTACAACAAGGCCAACGGTGTCTTGACAAGTTTCGGTGTCGGGTAGCAAGGCTCAAGGAGTAAGAAGGGCGCTGAGCTGAATGGTGGAAAAGCAAAAGAAAAGCTGTGAAAGGCGGTAAGTTGAGATAGATCACATCATAAAGAGGCAAGAGGCGAAGGCCAAATGACATGGATGTCCGCGGGTGGCGCTTTGAGTGGGCATGGCGGGCACGACGGGCCGGGGCATGAGACCCAAGAGTGATTTGGAGCTAAAGCCAACAGAAGCCAACAGGCTTCTGAGGCCTAACAAATTACTCCGCGGCTGCGGGCTGACGGCCAAAACAGGCCGGGTTGCGATGTGGGCATCTCGTTCTTGTCAAATGGTGTCTGGTGGCATGCATTGGTCATGTTGGCCGACGCGGGTGGATGTACAAGCACCAGACAGACCACTTGAATAACTAGATGGGCAGTGTGTGCATAAAGCAGGGGCATAAAGCAGGGGCATTAAGCAAGGGCACAATTCATTGATGTTGTCTGAGACCCGGCTAACATTCATCGTGAAAACGAGCAGCCAGATCTGTGCAACATGAACAACACGCACTTGAGGAATCTACCGATTTATGCAAGCTACACTCAATGCCCGCCGCGCCTTGCCACCCTATTTAAGTACCTTGCATATCGACTGTCAAGGCCATTGCAGCAAGCGCACAAGTGTACCAGACACGCACACCACCTCAGCGCTTCTTCCATTTCTGTCTGAGGAATGTTTCTAGTTACTTGGCACTCTGTGCTGGCGATGCATTCACGGAGGCCCATGTGTCCATGAAGGAGCACTTGAGTGAGACTTACGTCATAGTGGAAATCCACTTTACGCGCTCCAAGCCCCCCGCCCCCACCAGAGAAATGGAAGTTCGTGATGTGTCGAATACAAAACTGAAAATAAACCCGGCAAAAGCTATTCTGGAATTTTCATGGGTAGACGTGCCGCAGAGAGCTTTTGATGCCGGTCTTATCAGAAGCCGACAGAGTAGAGAGTAAGACGGATTGAACAGCACGACGAGCCACCTTACTTTGGAGCTAAGGCTGCTTGGCTGGTCACCCGACAAGACATTTGTGGAGATCCAATGACTATCGGAGAACTCGGTAACCAAGCCATCCGTGTACTGGTGGTGTCGACTGGGTTCCCGAAGTACTTGGGAGCCTTTTGCATTACGGAGATCTCTCCCCTGAGAGGAGGACAAGAGAAATGTCCAGGCTACTGAGGGAGAGGATAAATGTGAGTCATAGGCAAATCAGTAATTTTCCCACTCTTTCCTGCGCATAAAACCCCAGGCTCTTCCTAAGCCTTGTTACCATTCCTTGGAGAACCAAGTCAAGGCTGGCCTATCCATCCAGCCGCCTTTGTGCCCGCCTTGAGTGGTCAAGCATTAGGCGGCTGTGCGGACAACAAGGTGGCTTGCCCAAAGGCGACTGTCATCCAGGTGTAGATACTTCGTCGATACTTTACTAGCTGGATCGCGTCTGGTGTGCGATGTGAAGGATGGACAGCAACCATGGCACATAGCACAGTCTAATGTACAACTCCATCACTGCATCGGGGACTTGGCTCGGAGCTCGAGGCTGCGAGGCCATAGGGACAAGAGGACGACTGTGAGCAACTGGCAGTTTCATAATGCAGGAGGTATCATCGTTTTCGAGATGCACGGCGTGGTTTAGCTCTTCGCGAGTCAATATGCCGAACCGGTCTGGACCAGTCCATGTCAGTGCTTACACTGCTCATGTACATCCGTAACACACCACGCCTACTCCGGACTTGGGGGAAAGGCCCGGTACAATAAAGCAGGACGCATCACCTCTTTTGAGGGCAACGCAAATTTTGCTTGAGTTAATAACTTTACAGGTTCGTCAGCTGCCACATGCACTCACCGTTTACAGTATCAGGACCATTGACTTGACTACCCAGGTACTTTGAAGTACTTGTATCCACCATTCGGCCCCACCAGAGCTTTGATAAGGCCGTACTAGTAAAGTTTCTGGCAACTGGCAGCATTAACAGTCCGTCTGCCTGACGTGAATTCAACACAAGGCTAGCTAGCCCTTGTTAGCCTCCTAACATCACCCCGCCAGGCCCGAGGCCCCAGTCAGTCACAGCACGTCTACCACTGCTTCCCGTCTTCCTGCCCCACCTCCTCAGACCTGCCTCAGACCTTCGTCAGACGTGGCCCAGGGTCACCTCAATATTCCGGCTCTGCCTTCTCTGCCCCTCTTTTCGCTGTCCTCCTTTTTGTTCCGAACTTCTTCATCCCAGACGTTGAAAGGCAGGATTTCTCTGTTCTCTTGCCCGACTTCAACCCTTCAACCTCGACCTGTCATCGTCCACAACTCTTCTGCATGAAGGCGAGGCCCGCTTGTCTCCGGCATGCCCATCGTGTAGATTTCGGGCATTGCGTCTTTTGGTCATCGTGAAACATCAAGCTTTGGCCTTGATCGATTCTTTCTATTTGCACCGTCGTTCTAGCTAAGGAACACACCTTCTACGGAATATCGAAACTCGCATTTATCGAGACAGCAGTATAAAAACAGCCATCATGACAGTGCCGAAATACAAGGACGAAGGCTAGTTCACACTGCCATCACCGAACAAACCCGCTCCACGTGAATATACTAACGGCATTTAATATTGCAGTCCAGGTCATCCTCAAAGCCGCTGATCCGAAATTGAAATCCCAATTTTGCGACCGCTATATTTTCCTCACCAAGGATAACCCCAAAATTTTTATTGGCCGCAGTACCAAGCGAGACGCCAGATTGGCTGCAGGTGCAAAGAACGGCTGGTTCGACTCAGCCGTCATGTCTCGAAACCACGCCAAAATTGTCTACCTTCCGGCTACCAACGTAAGTTGGTCTTTTTTTTTTCCTGCTACTGACATCGGCCCCTGTGGCTCAAGAGCTGTTTTGGGGCAAGTAATCGAATTGACAATCGCCACAGTCTGTTGCCCTCGTTGACGTTGGTTCTCTGCA